ATCTCGGCCTAACGAATACCCATTCATACACGGACACAATCACACAGTCCCAGCCTCATTCTCACACTCACTCACTCAAAGACATACAATAACGATACATTTCATTCTTATTCCCGATACGCACTCTATACCCCCCAGGTCCAAGACATGTACCCGCCCTCTACAGGGGGCAGCCCATGCCCAAACCCAGGAGGTAGACCCATTCATTCTCGAGCGGAGAGGAGCCAATATCCCAGACCCGGCCCAGGCCACGCCCAGCCGACAGGACACCCCCCAGCACGAAGAGGTCACGCCACCGACCACCCACACACCGCCAACAACCAAGCACGCGCCCCCAGCCGACCGCCTGCCAGGCCCCGGCAGCCACCCCGGCCAGCGGGCCAACTATGGCACCCAAGAGCCAAGCTCAGGGGGTCCAAACAACCCCAGGGAGAGCACAGCGCCAGCACCGCCCATGGCAATCCCCCAGACCCCGAACCCCCACATAGTCCTGGTCAACACCCGACGGCCTGCCCTTTTCCCGGACCCCACCCCAGGAATGGCAGTCAGGGAACTAGGGGGGTGAGAAAAAAAAAAGAATAAGACCCCGACACATACACCCCCGCCCCTAGATGTGCTGTTGATGTGTGTTGTTGTATAGTGCCATTAAAAAGGAAAGAAGAAGGAGCAACGGCTGGCATGATGCCTGTTTCCCCTCCACCCCAACTCTATCCAAACCCTAGTGTCTAAATGCAACCGTTGTAAGTGAGCACAGGCACAGGGGGTGAGAGTAAGGTCATCCCACCACCCATAGCCATGTGCCCACCTCAAGTTGGGTTCAGGGCCGGAGGCGAACTGCTCAGTTCGGGTGTCCAAGGCGAACTGCCTTTTACACAGAGACTTTGTGCAAAACAAAAGCTCTGAGAAGATTGTTTTGACTAACTAGGGAACATTGTGGCTCCCCTCTGAAGAAAACAGCTTCCAGCTCAAAGACTACTTTTTCACAGGTGTTTCTGAAGGAATAATCACTTTCTGAAAAACGGAACAGAGAAATATGTTATTCACATTGTAATATTTCACATGGTTTCATTATGATTGAAAACAACAATCAAAATTCTTCATGTTCACACTTGTTAATCAAATAAAAGTTACAGTTACTCTGGAGTCCAGGATTGACAATGTATGAAAAATACTCCCAATGAGAGAGACTTGCCCTCGCATCAAAAGGAACATCACCTTCCAAAATACAGCAGTGTCATCCTTACAGCAACACCTCAACACAAGTACTGTACTCACCTAGAACACACCTGACGCTGATGTGATGTTTCACCACAGTGAAAGTGGACAGATGCAATGAACGCAGCAGCAAGAGGAAAGCTGGGGGCTGATGCTGTTTATCAGCAGGCTTTTAACACAAAAACCTGCTTCTGAGATTCCAACGGGAGGGTGTCTTGAAACACAGCAGTGAAGGCTAATGGGACAGATCTGGTTGGCAGGCTGCAGACTGATGGAAGTCTTTGGATGGAAGACGAAACGTTTCTCCCTCAAAGAAACTGGTCCAGTTGACATGATTGAACCTTTTTATTATTTTAGGTCATCTTTATACTGTAATTTAGAAAATGATTAAAGATTCACAAACTTTCAAGCACCACTGTATTGCATGACTTGCTGGTCATTTTGTCATAAACACTCAGAATATAATATTGTAACTAAAATATCACCTGAGTTTTCAACTAGCCCCCGACACTCTGTTAGACACCAGCTTAAATCTTGTCTGGCTGGTCTGAAGACTTCACCATGACATCACACCTTCAAGCTGTTTACTCTTTGACCTTGACTCTAAACCCAGTATACAACTGGGTTGTGACTGTTGGCAACAAATAACTCGGAACAGTTGCAGTCTTCAGACCAGATCACTTTCACTTTATAGTGACATCACTAACCTCAAAAGGCTTCAACTCCGCATCAGCAGCAAAATCTACAGATTAGACACAGAATCATTCAGGAGGAATGTCCAACAACAAGATGTCCACAGGTCCAGTCCAATTATTATTCAGTCTTAACAGAATCAAATCTATTTTAGTTTTATTTTAATATGTTTAATTTGTTATAAAACTGAGGTGATGGTTTTTGGCCCCAAGGCCAAAAGGAATTTAGTAGTTCAGTCCCTTTCTGCTTTTGGTTTTAACTGCACTCGTGAAGCCAGAAATTTGGGGGTAACCTTTGATTCTGATCTTGGTTTTTCTAAACATTTTAAGAACATCACTAAAACAGCATTTTTTTTTTCAAATTAGTAATATTGCCAAAATCAGAGCATTTATCTTTTTAACTGATGCAGAAACTCTTATTCATGCCTTTGTCTCTTGTCATCTTGATTATTATAACTCTTTATTTTCTGGTCTGCCCCAAAGTTCTCTTAATCGTCTTCAACTAGTACTAAACACTGCAGCTAGAGTTCTCACAAGATCCCATAAATATCAGCACATCACTCCTGTTATGTCCCCATTGCATTGGCTCCCTGTGGTTTTTAGAATTTACTTTAAAATTTTATTGTTTGTTTTTAAATTCCTGAATGGTCTTGCGCCATCATATCTATCTGAGCTTCTTACCCCCTACATCCCTTCTTGCAATCTCAGATCCTTAAATCTGTTACTTTCCACTCCAAGATATCGACTGGTGACATAAGGAGGGAGGGCTTTTATGGTCAGGGCTCCTAATTTGTGGAATGCTCTTCCTTTAAATATTAGACGGGCCTCTTCATTTCTTCTTTTAAATCATTAGTTAAAACTTGCTTGTTTAATAAGGCTTTTAATATCTGAATTTCTTTCTTTTTTATGTTATCTATTTTAATTGATTTGGTATACTTTTGTGTTTCTTATGTCATTTATAATGTTGTTTTAATTGATTAATGTGAAGTTCTTTGTGACATTTGTTTGAAAGGTGCTATAAAAATAAAGTATTATTATTATTACTACTATTATTGCGGGAGTGGTGGCGCAGAGGTTAGAGAAGGTTGGCCTGTGATCGAAAGATCGCCGGTTCAAGCCCTGGTACCGGCAACATCAAAAATGTGGGTGGGGTAGGTGAAGAACCCACACCTGCCCCCACCCTCATTCGTCCCACTCTGAGCCCTTGAGCAAGGTCCTTACCCCCATCATCTGCTCCTCCGGGTGTCCTAGATAGCAGCTCTCTGCTCCACACAGAGGGCTGTGGTAGCTCAGTGGTCCGTGGTTGCGTCAGGAAGGACATCTGGCGTTAAAAAAAATAACTGCCACGTCTTCGTGCGACTTAGTTCGCTGTGGCGACCCCTAACGCAGGGAGCAGCCGAAAGAAGAAAAAACAAACCATTATTATTATTATTATTATTATTATTATTATTATTATTATTATTATCATTATTATTATCATTATTATTATTAATATAAATCATTTCAGTGCATTCACATTTAATAGAGTATTTAAAAATGACCCACAAATTACATTGAAACTTTAATATGATTCAGTTTTCCTTGCCCACTGAGGAAAATTCTTCTTAAAACGGAAAAAGAAGTAAAGTGGTAAACACCTTTTATTTATTGATTTATCCTTTATTTTAATAAAAGAAGATAAATGTTGACATACATCATATCTTCAGTAAATGGGCTAAATAGAGGCATGGATTTAAACAAACTAAATCGGGAATTAATATGTACTTGATATTCTACTACCAGTTAAAAAAGTGAAGTGAGGAAGGTGTCTGAAGGCTGATGGTCTTCTGAAGATTACTTCAAAGTTATTGAGCATAAAATAAAATCTGTTTTATTGAGTTCACTTATAGGTCATCTTCAAACTTTTATTTGTTCCCAGTATTAACAGTTATTATTGATAATAATTTAGTATGATATAAGAAAAGTAGATATTCAACTAAATATGATTTTAACTTTGATTTTAGCATGGACAGAATTATGTTTCTGAATCTAAATGAAAATAAAACGGAAGTCATCAGCTTTGGTAAATGTAATACCCTTAATGTGCTTGGCCCCTTGGCTTCATACAGCCACTCCAATGTCAGGAATCTGGGAGTTATTTTTGATAGTGCTTTTAAATTAGACAAACAGATAAATACTGTTGTGAAATCCAGTTTCTTCCAGCTAAGACTTATTGCCAAGGTGAAGTCTTGTCTCCCTTTCAGAGACCTTGAAAAGGTGATTCACGCTTTTATTACATCTGCTTTGGACTACTGTAATTCATTGTATGTTGGTTTAGACAAATCATCTTTGCATTGTTTACAATCTGTCCAGAACGCAGCAGCTCGTCTTTTAACAGCAACTAAAAAACATGAACACACAACCCCTGTCCTGGCTTCTCTCCACTGGCTTCCTGTCCACTTCCGGATTGATTTTAAGATTTTATTGCTTGTTTTTAAAGTCTTAAAAGGTCTGGCCCCGTCATATTTATGTGATCTCATTAACATCTACACTCCAGTAAGAGCACTTCGGTCTACCAACCAGTTCCTCTTAGATGTCCCCAGATCCAAACTTAAATCCAGAGGTGATCGGGCTTTTGTGGTTGCTGCTCCAAAACTGTGGAACAGTTTACCTGAGAATTTAAAGAGCGCTCAGACTGTTGAGACTTTTAAATCTTTGCTCAAGACTCATCTGTATTCCTTGGCATTTCATCCACGCAGAGTCTGAGAACAAGTTGAGCTGATTTTATTGTTGTTGTGTGTTGTTTTTACTGTCAACTTATGTTTTTGAGTGGCACTAGATGCATTTTTACTCTTTTTTTATTTTTAATCTGTCTTAACTGTAAAGCACTTTGGTCAGCTTTTGTTGTTTTTATGTGCTATATAAATAAATTGACATTGACATGTTTGGTCTGGCAGATTATTTTATTTCTTGTGTGCACAGTATTTTTTGTTTCACAATTTATTTTAAAATATGGGATTTTAAACCCATAAGAACATCTCAGCAGTTAAAGTGTTATTTTCATGTGATTACAAAACAAAGAAGTTTCTTTTTTATTATTATTCAACAACAGAAGTTCATAGACAAGAAAATGTTTGAATTAACATGCATAAAGTTGTACCATGAGACCGACAAAGTTACTGAAAGTCTTTGATGTCCCAGACAAACTTAAGTGGAAAATCTTTCATCTCTCTATGGAAGACTTCATCAAACCTCTCATTCTGGGCCACAGTAAAGTGATTCTTCCAGTCTCCAATGGTGCCTTAAAGAGCAGAGAAGAGAAATATATCAAATACAATTGGGGAAAATTACATTTCAGTATTAAAGTTAAATACTCGTTCAGTTCTAGAGTTTTCCATATCTTCAACACTTGCTCTTTTCTCAAGGGCAGACGTCTCCTCCTCTCCCTCTCCACTTTGCTTTTGCTCTGTCCTGTCTGTGAAACTGCTTCTGAGTCTCTCTCTACATATCTTCCGAATCATAACTATGGACTTGGATTTGGTCAGTTGGTTCCTCAACACAATATCAACAATTGATAACATTTTTTTGAAGAGAAGACAGGCTTTAGGCAAGCCGATTTGCCCTGTTGGCACGCATGCAGCTGGATATCTCATTGACTTTGAAGACTTGATGACGTGTCTATCTCTGCTGTCATCTGTGGATGTTAAAAACACATTTATAATTGGATTTATGATAACTGGTTCCTACTTTTTGGATTTGGCTGATTCCTGGTCTATCAACAAACAAGGAAGTTGTCGGCAGCAAATCTGGACCTGGTCAGGCCGCCTGCCTTATATGATGGCTTGGTTCGTGCCTTGAGCACCCAGACTCTTGGCAGAATGGATCAAATCTTGGGGATTATTCTCAGGCAAGTTCCATTGGTATGGTCATTTAATTTGGACGTTTCGGAAACGAGTGGACCGACACATACTCAAGGTAGATGTCATTAAGTTCTGCCTGTCCCCAAAACAATCATGTTTATCTGAATTTGGCTCCCTGACTTGCCATCTTATCTCAACCCACCTGGAAAGTTTTGTAAACCTGATGCTCAGCCCCTCCCTCCCCTCCTACTGAGGAATCTCCATGGACTTTTCAGAAGAGCCCAGCTGAATAAACATTCTGTCACCACCCTGGAAACATACCTCATCACATAAAGAACTCCATTGATTTTGCCAACAAAGTTCAGCATTTGAAACTAACCCCAGGAGAAACCCTTGTATCGTATGATGTGACTTCTCTTTTCACTTGCATACCCATCTCTGAAGCAGTAGAAACGGTCAGAAAACGACTTCTACAAGACAATGACTTAATTAACAGGTACAACTTTACCCCAGACCAGATCTGCACCCTGTTGGATCTCTGCCTCTCAACCACTTATTTCAAGTTAAATGGCAGTTTTTACAGACAGAAGCATGGCTGTGCCATGGGATCTCCAGTGTCACCCATTGTTGCCAATCTCTACATGGAGGAAGTGGAACAGAGTCCTAAACTCCTATGAGGGAACAACGCCAAGCCATTGGCTCCGATATGTGGATGATACCTGGGTCAAAATCCAAGCCAAGGAAATAGAAGCGTTCACCAGACACATTAACTCAGCTGATAACAACATCAAGTTCACCAGAGAGCATACAAAAGACAGCAAGCGGCCTTTTTTGGACCGTTTGATTCAGATGGAAAGAGAGGACAGCCTCAACATTGAAGTTTACAGAAAACCAACCCACACAGACCAGTATCTTGTGTTTGACTCTCACCATCCACTGGAACACAAACTCTCTGTCATCAGAACTTTACAGCATCGGGCCGAACACGTCCCCACAAAGACAGAAGGGAAGGAAAATGAAAAGAAACGCATCCAAGAAGCTCTCCAAACATGTGGATATCATAATTGGACTTTTGTCAAGTCGGCGAGGAAATCTACAAATCCCACTAATAAACAGAAAAAGGACAACAACAGACATAAAAACATTGTCATCTCTTATGTTGCTGAAGTATCAGAGAAATTTAGAAGGATTTTCAACAAACACAACATCCCAGTACATTTCAAACCCAGCAGGACTCTCAGACAGAGGCTGGTCCACCCTAAGGACAAAACACCCCTACACAAACAGAGTATGCGGTCCAATGCAGCGAGGACTATCCAGACCTCTACATTGGAGAAACTTAACAGCCTCTTCACAGACGCATGGCTGAACACAGGAGAGCCAGCTCCTCAGGACAAGACTCAGCGGTTCACCTCCACCTCACGGATAAGGGACACTGTTGAGGACCAAAATGTGCACATTTTGGACCAAGAACACAGATGGTTTGAGAGGGGGGTGAAGGAAGCAATTTATGTTAAAAGAGAAAAAACATCTCTTAACAGAGGAGGAGGCCTCAGATTTCCACTTTCAAAAACGTATAATCCAACTTTAAGGGGCTGTTTAAACGGTGCGTATTTTGAGTGCATCCGCAGCTTTCTCTCTGCGGTTCTACTGATCATTTACATGGCACCAGTGGCCCCCCTCTTTGAATCCGGAGGTTTTTGAATCCACCTTCCAGAGTGGAGGTTTTTCGCTGACCCCCTGCTGATAATGTAAACATCTCCCGCTGAGGCTTTGTATTTAACCACATGCGCACACGCACGCAAGGACAGATGCTATATTTCTATCAAGATGGCAGCGGATACACTGCTTTCAGAACTACGACTGATGGAATATATTTTTAATCTCGTAGTTAATCTATGTCAGATTCCAGGGGCTGTGACCAACATCTGTGTTGGAAGAGACAGTCAGATCCAGTTCTAATATCGCTGTTTATAGAACGAGGCATGCGCACACATCGCGCTGCACTATAACATACTAAATGTGCTAAATAATAACAGTTTAATAATAATAAACAGTATTTATGTTAGTGTGAGAGATAATGAAGCTCTGAGCTAAATGAAGCTATCTGGACATTATGTAATTCAAATTTAAAATGATTGTAAACATATAGCGTGAACACTAAAGTTGAAAATGAAGACATCAGGTTTAATTTTTATTTATTTATTCAACACCACAAACTGTATGTCACATAAACACTGATAATTAAACTGAACACACTATTAAAAACTGTAGGGTTTTGTCATTTTCCTTCCACCAGGTTCCTGAAGGCAGGGGCGGCGCTGATGAGCAGCTGCAGCTGAGACCAGTTTCCCTAATTGATGCCAGGACTACTTAAGGCTCCAGTTGAGCTCCAGTCAGTGCTGGAGCATTGTTCTACCTGCCGGTACATATGCCTCCAGCCCTGTATAGTGTTCAAAGATTGAGAAGACTGACCTTGTTTTGTGTACACATTTTCAGAGTCTTGATGTCCTGGATCCTGTCCTGTTTTTCGAAGTATTGAAGAAGACCCTGAGGATAAACTTACCTGTGTTTCCTTGTGCTCAGCTGCCTGCACACGCCTTCCGCCACTTGCCTTTGCAGTCTGCCTGGTCATCATCCTGGAACGAGAAAAACCCTCAGCCTGTCCAACAGCCATACTAACTACTTTCACTGTAAGCTTCTCAAAGACCTTGAACATTCAGTTATTGGATCATCTCCTCGTCATAAAGTAATCCTCCTCCTCTGTCTTCACAGACCCAGATCCTATTTTGTAAATAGTTTATTTTTCCTCTCACTGTAAAATAAACATTTTTCAATTACGTTTGAGTTTGGTTCTGTTTTCCTCTGTCTGTTCACTTGGGTAACTCCTCATTATAACAAAAACACGTTAACTGAACTACGTAAATGAACTGGACTCTTGTTTTCATCCGGTATGGAAGTCCCACGTTGTCCATCTGACTCGTTCATGCTGTCACTCCTTTGATTAATGCAGCTTAAAACATTGAATGGATTGAATAAAACAACTGAGGGGAATTTAAAATAGTTTATCCAACATCGCACTCTCTTTGACGTCCTCCTGCACTGCACCTGGGCCGAGCTTCGTTCAGAACCAGTCCGCCTGGTGGGAGGACAGCTTCTTCTTCTTTCAGGAAAAATAAAAACTCAGTTGGTTGTTGTGTGATCAAAGTAAACACAAGCAAACATTAAGAACATTGATTTACCTGCAGCTGTAAATCAGCTACTGATTATCATGGAGTAAAGTCCGACATCATAGACTCTGTTCTGGTCCACTCAGTGTGGAGCTGTTAGCCAAAGCGGTCCCGCTTGGCGTCAAATCTGTCGTCTCTTATCCAAAATCCAGCCAAAAAACAGCTTTAACTTGTTAAGATGTTGTTAGCTGAGCTTTTTAGCTCACAGGAAAGGAGCGTGCCGAGGCAACATGCATGTACATTAGGTGAAGGTACAAAATTCACAGCGCCATCTAATGACCTGGCATGGTAACTACAGCGGATTCGGGAGGGCGGGGGGGGATTCCTGCGTATGCATGTAAACACAAAATCTGTCCGTGTCAATGCGGATCTTTTCCTTTAACATACAAAAAAAACATACGTTTCCCCCCATCGTGTCTGTGTAAATAGGGCCTAAGACATTCCCAGCCAGTTTTCACACCTGATGGGAACAGAGGGGCCTCATCTGTGAATTAGAGTAACAAAGACCTTAAAGAACCCCTACTGTTAGGGTGTTGAAGTGTGAATTGTCAATCTACATATGTATGTGTATCTTATCTCACTCAGCCTTATAACCTGAACCCCTCACTCACTGCTCTTTGAATTGAGAAAGCTTCTCGGATGACGTCTTCTGTTACAAATAAAGTCTAGTTGTTTTTGTATTGAACGTTTTTTGAATTTATCATGTCCTCGATGACTGAGAATCTTCACCAGCTCTGAGGAGGTCGAGTTTCAACCGAGGGGGGACTCTTCGCTCAAGTAATTTTTTAACTCCCTGGACACGGAGTTCGTGAACACGTCCCCCTCTGAAGCTGAAACAGCTAGCAGCCGCTCTCCATCCTGCCTTACAGGAGGTTTGGAGCCAGTGTTGCCTTCGATGGTCGAAGCTGAGGGCTCCGGTCACCTCCTTGTTGCTGTTGTCAATTGTTGTCATCTTTCTTTGTTGAAATCAGGTCTCTCTTGTAAATGAGTCCTCGAGGCTCAATGGGATTTACCTGTCTAAATAAAGGTTGATTCACGGCCATCACCAAAGTCAAAGAGCTCACGGACCAGGGTTTTTCCACCATCCCTCCCCTAGAACCCAGTTTGTCGGGTGTTTTCGGGGTGAGCGCAGTGAAATACGTTGGCCGACGTATCACCCCGTCATCCTCCGGTGACCAGCTCACCGCGAAGCTGACAGACAGAATCCATCA